TCCTACAAAGACTTACACAAGTGCTTAATGAATAGCCCTATTGACTTCAGTGGGAATTCTGATGTGCATAAAGTTAAGAATGGGCGTAAGTCTTTGCATAGTCATGACCTTAGCTATCCTCCTGTAATGTCTGACGCCTTGATTTCCATGGTGATGTGCATGTGGAAATACTCTGCACCACCAATCAGCAGACACGGGAGATGCTGAAACTGTGCTCAGCCAATGGGGGCGGGGGGATGGGAAAAGAGCAGGAGAGTAGGGCAGAGATTTAGGGCTTGTCTACGCTTAAAACACTACAGCAGCACAGTTGTGCCACTGCAGTGCTTCAGTGTAGACACTACCTATGCTGATGGCAATGATTCTTCGATTGCTATAGGTAATCCACGTCCCTGAGAGGCGGTACCTAGGTTGATGGAAAGCGTTTTCCACATGGGGACTTTGGTCATCTTAACTATGCTGCTCAGGGGTGTGGATTTTTCACACCCTTAGGCGATGTAGTTATGCTGACCTAATCTTCTAGTGTAGACCAGGCCTTACTCACACTGCTGGAATGGATCAGATAAAGGCCTACAGGTTCTCTGTCTTCTAATTTATTAATTGATCTTGATTTCCCCTGAATGTCTTCATCCTCACCTGGAAGGTCCAGGACTGTGAGATTCAGATATTCACTTGGCATCCTCATTTGTAAACTCTCTCGCATAGATTTTATTTTAAGCAAACTTTTTTACCGCAGTCATAAATTATACCTGCCATCTCTACAACACCTCACTGTCTCTTAACACTGATCCCTTGCTCCTTGTTTCTTAAAATTAACCTTGGTAGGGGTAACAGTCTTCCTTGTAGTCTTTACTTTTTGCCTATGCACAGATTGTCCTTCTGAAATCTTTATAATCTTACCCTCTTATTTTAAAAAATGTTCTTTTGCTTATTTTATAGCCAGTCTTGGTATATTCACACACTGATCCTTTTTGTCCCTTGAAAATAATTTCTAGATAGCACACAGTATCCTCTGACACATGAACGTTTTCCTTAAACACTTTCCATTTCCCCACTGTGCCTTTTCCCTTCTAATGCCCTTATTCTAGCCGAGATAAAAAAAAATGAAGAAAAGAGCAAAAGGAAAACAGAACGCCTTCAAAGATAAAATAGTAACCTTGATTTTACAAACGTTGCCAGCAGTTTATCTCAGAGTCTATGAACACAGAAAAATCAGATATCCTTATGGGAAAAAGCTACAATATGAAATACTGTATTTTCAAGATCCAAAGATAACATCTTGCTAGCATAAATACATTTTGATCATTTGTGCTCCAGAGCTGAAGTACTAAAATCACTATTTTTTCCCTTAAAAAATAGAGATGGTACTTTTGGTTAAAAGATAAATGTCTGATAGTATCAGTATTTGTTTCATACCACACTAGGCTGATTGTCAAAAGCACACATGTGATGGGAATATCATAAATGATGTACATCAGTCATCTTTACTTGGTAAAGGGGAAAAACAGACACTTTTGTGAAATGTCAATGAAAATTAGCTAGGTACATGTGAATGAAATTTCCTGTTATGCCCCTCAGCTGCTAGCTACTACGTCACCCACAAAAAGCAGAGAGAGAATATACCAGTCTAATTTCCGCTGCAACGATTTACAGGGGATAAAATACCACTTGGCTTCCCTGACATTGCCTTCTCCTCTTTGGAAGCCCCATTTTTTAAAAGCATCAGAGACTATTGAGCCTGAACCAAAAGACCACTCAAGTCGGGAGGGGTCTTTCCACTGAGTTTAAATAGGTTGAGTCTTAGAGAGGGAAAAGACCCATTCAACAGTACTTGGTCCAGTTTCGTTCCAAACGTTGCAAAGTGACGTGGAATGCCTAGCACTTTTCCCTGAGATCTATTTCACCCTCTAATGACTTCACCATTGAGACATATTTTGTATAGGTTTTACTGAAATGGTGGCTACTATTTTCAAACCTTGGCAATGGAAAGGTGGATTTAATAATGAGCATTTGAAACTGGGAGATAGATCACAACACTGGCTCTAAACTACTTGACACTATCCCATGGTGTAAGCTCGGTATGTCTTGAACTCCAGTACATAAATACAGCTGCCCTCAGTCTCTTCTGGCTTTAAATCTCGAAGCGACCCAATAATGTTCAATTACTCTCAGTAGAGTGATTTACAATTATTCATACAGGGATATACCAATTTTGGACAAGTGGTGTGTGTTATACTGTAGCAGTGATTTAAAGTAAAACTGGTAAACTGGGATACACTGCCTTTTGGGGGCAGACAGAGGATCTGAATTTCTGTGAGCAACCAGTGTCAGGGGCTGGATATCACAAAGGAATGGATGGACCTCTTGTTAACCTGTGAGGCAAAAACAGGGCTGGCATATTGCAGAGGAGAGTGTTGAGTGGCTGACAGGCTGATGGTGTGAGGGCGCTAACACCCAGTTACCAGAATCAGGGCTCCCCCACTGGAGGCAAGGGATAACTAGGTGACTCACAGCTGTGGATACCCCAAGAACTGTCGCACTACACTCAAAAACATTTTGGTATAAAGTGCCTAGACAATGCAACGAATAGCACTTTATAAATACAAATCTAGGAAATAGTTTGGATTAGCCAGATTAGATAGATAACACAGAAGAAATAGAAAGCTACAACATGGAGGAATTAAAATCACCACCTCTCTTTAGTTTGTTTTATAATGTAAAGTTGAATCAATTAAAGGGAATATCAACAGCTTTTTCTCACATTAAAAAAAAACCACACTACATATAAAGGCTCTTAAATCATATTTATGGTTATTTTGGTCCCAGATCAACAAAGCATTTCAGAACATGCTTAACTTTGAATAAGTGAGTAAGCTCTTTGACTTCAACAGAACTACTCACATGCCTAAAGTTAAGCACATGCTTAAGTGTTTTGCTGAATTGAGGCATTTAACAGATTAAAACTGCAGATATAGCCAAGTGTGCAGGACAAGATATTTTGAAAAAGAGAGCAGCCTACATGTGCACTGCAATCCTTTGTAAGAGGATAGCATGTGCCTCACATATTGGTGGATTGGGTTCATGGTGTATCTGGTTGCGTGAAACTGCGGCACATGACACCAAGTCATCCAAAAGTCTTCCAAGTGCTTTGCACTTAAAACTTGTAAATGTGAAATGGACTTTTTCAAAATATCGTTTATTCTGCAAACCCTGCAATCTCCAGTTTTAATCTGTTAAAATAAACTTAACTGTGATTAAGAGCCTTCAGTTAAAGACATTTAATAATTAGTGTATCCTCCATGATTACATATTTCAGAAGATTCGTTTTAACTTAAATTTCTGCAGACCTGTATTGCCAAAAGCTTATATGGCGTATAAATTAACCACAGCATCACTTAACAAGGTCATTTCTACTTTCTGACTTACCAGTCTGTATCCAAAACGTCAAAATTTACTTTAAAACACAACTTCATCAGTATATCTACTGTCCACTCTGTTTAATGCCTCAGCATCACAAATAATCAACATATGGCTTTAAGTTTGTATATTTATATAAAGAAACACAAAACCAAGCATTACGTACTATGTCGGTGGAGACTCAACTTCTCTCATTTGAGAACAATCAGCTTTTCCAGCTGTAACATTGTGGACTTGAAGTAAAATCGATAAACTGTCAAAGCCTAGTGATTAGCAGAGCAGCTCAAATGTTTCTTATAGTTTCTCAGCTGATGAAAGCTCAAACACTAACTAGGTATTTTCTTTTACGATTCAGAACATCAACTCTATTTTAAGTTTTATGCACAGAAAAACAGCTATCAAGCTGAATGAGTGAACTAAACTAGCTTTCGAATGACTGCTAGTATTCAGATCTCCCTGTGAAACTTGACCTTGTAGCAGGAATCTGTGTTAAAAATACATCCAGCACTTTGTGTTGTCTTTATGGAACTCTGCCCTGGCCTTTATCTGAACGAGCCCGATTACAAGCTTTAGAGGAAAGATTTGTTCTTTAAACATTTTTTTCCTGCCTTTGGCAAAGAGCAATCCCTTTCCCTCCCTCAACACATGTTTTCAAAGGACTAAAATTAATTTGTACTAGTTAAATATTGATTTGCTTTGCTTGTACATAAGCAACCAGTGTTGTCAGCACAGATCTGTAAGGACTATTTATTAGTTTATTGCTACCGCAGAGCCATCAAAAGGAAAGAAAACATTGCTCTTGTGCCCCACAAAAATACTTAATAATTGTGTTGAATCTTGGCAACAAAGGAGTAGATTTCATACAGACAGGGGTGGTCTAATGGAGTGGGAGGCCAGTCAGAAATTTCTGACTTCTAATCATGACTTTCTGCCCTGGCCTACACTACAAAATGTGAAAAATCCACACCCAGAAAAGACATAGTTACACCGACCTAAGCGCTGGTGTAGTGAGCAGTGTGTTGGTGGGAGAGCTCCTCCTGCCAACACAGCTACCACCTCTCATAGAAACAGATTAACTAAGCCGAGGGGAGAAGCTCTCTCCCATCGGCTTAGAGCATCTTCATTAGAGCGCTGCAGTTGTGCCAGTGCAGGGTTTTAAGTGTAGACCTGCTCTTACTATGATTCTATTTGTGGCTCTGGGCAAGACATTTAACTTCTTTGAATCTGCAAAAAGGGGTACAATACAATAGAATTCACTTTTAGAGCTTTATTCAGCTACATGGAATAAGGAACCTGTTCTGCTCTCATTGAAGGGCAAGGAAAAGCTCCCAGTGCCATGAGCTAAGCAGGATAAGGGCTCCAATCTTAAATTTTCCAAAAGCCTGTAACTCCCTGCCAGCAAAGAAAGGGCTGAGTGCAAAGCCCTGAACTACCGGTGTATGTCTGAGGGGAGGGAAAGTGGCTGCAAAACTGTCCTTTTTCACAGGCATTCAAAACATGAATTTTTAATCTACAACATGCTTGCAATTCACTATTATTAGACATGTATTTCCACATACATATGATATGTATTAAAATCCCCATACCTCTTCTAAGCTGTGGAGCGAAGAAGCAGATACTGCTCGAGATGTGAGCGGATGAAATGGCTCCTGACCCACTGCATGCTGATGATTCTGTATTTGTATAAAAGGGTTCTGTTGTGATCTATGGGGCAATGGAGGTATGCCATAATGAAAGCCCTGCCCCATTAGGTGATTCTGCTGTAGGTTAGCATAGGTCCATGATCCATCAGGTTGCAGGTACTTCAAAGGAGGTGGGGTTATGTGTTCAGATGGCAGTGAGAATGGGGGATTGTATATTTGGGGCAAATGCTGCTGAAATGCTGGGTTGTTGGACATTTCAATGTCTCTGTTGTTTTCAGTGAAGTTAGGAAAGTGGCCGCTGTGGTTTGAGTTGCATGAAGGAGAGGGGAGCGCTGGTGGGCTTCTGGGCTGAACTTGTCTGTATTGCAACAGTCTGGACTGGGGAGGTGGCATTTCAGCTAGGTCCCTGCTTTCACTTTGATCGCGGTGTGACAGTTCTCTGAGCAAGTCCTGGAACCTGTATTAGCAAAATAAATGTTATTAAGATGGAGAAATGCAAAAAGTGCATTGCTAAAGCTCCACCCATTTTGAGGTACCAGGTTCTGAATATCACAACCAGATTGGCGGCAAATACAAACCGTACAAAACATTATACTTAAATGTGCACAAGATCAAGTCTAGCTTCAAAGCCTATAATTGTGGGCAATTGGAAATTAAGGACATGAGACCTCGCTGGACTGACATACCAACCAGAACAATCACACAAAACTCAGTGATCAATATCCTTCTGAAGGCTTGAAAATTTCTGGCCTTTCTATTCCAACGAGAAGGGCCTATTAATAATAATGTAATGTATCTAGGCCTATTGCCGACACTGAACATCCTAACAACGACAGCTCTTTATAGGACTCATAGTGCCTGGCACCTGCGCATGGTATTATAGTGAAGGTGGGCTATGTTCTGTTTTTAAATACAGTACTTTGAGAATTCAATCAACAAATACCTTGAATATGTTGCCTCTGTTTCGTCTTCTGTATTACTTGCAAGTTTCCAGTTTGCCCTAACTGGCTGTTGGTGCAATCCAATTGGCTGCTGGGGAAGATGTTGTAGGTGAGGATGGTGATGGTGCGGATATGGAAGATTGCCCTGACTGAGATAGGCATTATGCTCATTCCACTGCTGTAATCTTGCTTGCTGCTGCTGCCTCAATGTTTCCAAAGCTACATTTCCATGCATACGATCTGTAAAACATTTACAGAAAATATAAAAATGTCCCCAACCTCCCTTTTTCAAAGCATTTGGTGCCAGAAAGGAGGATTCTACCATGTGGTATATTAAATGTAAAAAACAGTCATGATAAGAAGGTACACAATGGAATCTCCAAATTTACCAGCACCAAAAAGTTGTTTATTAATAAACACCTGCACATCTACCAAGGTGATATATGCCATCATGTGCCAGCAATGCCCCTCTGTCATGTACATTGGCCAAACCGGACAGTCTCTACGCAAAAGAATTAATGGACACAAATCTGACATCAGGAATCATAATACTCAAAAACCAGTGGGAGAACACTTTAACCTGTCTGGCCATTCAGTGACAGACCTGCGGGTGGCTATCTTACAACAGAAAAACTTCAAAAACAGACTGATGAGCTGGAATTGATATGCAAACTAGATACAATCAACTCAGGATTGAATAAGGACTGGGAATGGCTGAGT